CGTGGTCCACTCTGCCCAGAGCCTCGCTTGAAATTCTGCTGATATCCATCCCGCTGATAGCCAGAGTAGTCCCGGGGAGCACTGAACTGAGACTGTGTATAACCACTGTTTGGAGTGTTGGAGAACGAAGGGTGGTAGCCATCATATCCTCCTCTGAATCCATTGGCAGGGCCCGGGTATCCATTCATCAAGACTCTACCACCACGAGAACCTCCACGGGATACACGACGACTATTATAATGAGGCTGACTGCTACGTGGAAATCCAGTGTTCTGCTGAGGAGGCTGCTGGTGGTTACCAGTCACTTGATGGGGCTGGTCCTGGGAACCATGCTAAGTGCCAACCACTGTTTGGAGCTGTTCTTGCTGGAGCTGTCTGCTCCACTTGGTGAGGCTGACTGGAAAAGCTCTGGTTATAACTGGACTGGTACTGGTTTTGCTGTTTTAAAGTTTCTGGTTCATTAACAGGAGGAACTGGGGCATTCATATTGAATACTGTTTGCATGGATTGGAATGGAGCTGCGTTTACATTGATTCCACTGCTATGTAAAGGTTTGCTCGTCCCAGCCTAGAAAACCTGAGGCTGAGAAGCAGTGGGAAGGGATGAGGATGCTGTAGGCTGGTCTGTGTTTAGAGAGATTGTTGCCTGAATCTGATCAATTGGTTCCTTTTGTGGCCGCTGCTCTGTGGCATGTGAAGGCTGATACAATGGTTGAGATGCTGTGTATCCCTCACTCGTGGATGAAACCAAAGTAACCTGTGTAGCTTCTGGTTGTACAGAAACTTGATTAGGCTGAGCAAGTCTAGATTCAGAATGAACAGGAGGGCAAACCAGCTGGGGCATATCCATGTTTTGTGTTGGATTCATAGGTTGTGCAGACACAATGGCAGGATCAAGAGTCTGGTTTTCAGAATCCAGCACTGAATCCTGAATGAAATTATAGGGCCCCTGCATTTGTGCCATAAGATCTTGTACTCGCTGTCTTCTCACAAGGGGGTCTGCCTGAGCCACCGGAGTCAACGAGTGGGGCTCTGGTACTGAAGGAGATGCAGCCTGAGGTTGCTGCTGGAGGGAATTTACCACCTCAACAGTTTCCACTGTCCGTTCATCTACCTGCTCCTTCTCACCACTGCTGAACTGGGTTTCTGCCATAAATTGTCTATTTACATCCTCTGTTGATTCGACTTCACTTTGCTCAGTGTATTCTTCTGCTGGCTCAGGTTCAGCTTCAGCAACCTGGTCTTCCACTGTAGGCCCTGAGGCTGCCTCCTCTTCCTCACACAGACCATTCTGGTGGTTATGGGTGCTGTCAAAGTAGTTTGACTGAAATACATGCTCAACGATTTCCTTTAGAGCCTTATAAGTTGTCCCGCACACAGATTTTTCCTTCCCCTCCAGCAAGTCCCACAGGTGAATGGAGGCATGTTCATACCGCTCGTTCAACCTTAGGCTCGTGTCCCGCTCGGGATCCACTAACTTGTAAAACTCTCTGGTCAAGCCTTGTTTCAAGTCAGTTCGCACTTCATCATCTCCTAATTTGTCCAAAACATACTGTAGCTCAAGCACAGTTTTTAGACGTTTCTGTTCAGCTTCTTCTCTCATAAGCTATTCTCAGCGTTCTGTCTTCTTTATTGTTTTCTGAATATCTTGACTTAATGCCATAAAACTCCTCTGTAATTCTTTTGCAAATTCCAAATTATTTGTGACTTCCTGGTACTTAGATACAGCATCCAGCTGATCTTGATTAAGCCTCTCTCCTTTGTTCATTCGTTCTTGGTAATCGTCAAAGTTACCCTTTTTCTTCTCCAGGTTCCGAAGTTTCTTGTTGATTACCCCGAGGATCTGCTTCATGGCCTCGGTCTGGACCGCGCCCGTGCCGGATGCTGGGTGCTGAGTAGCAGGAGCAGCTGCCCCGGCCGCTGCCGCTGTCTCACTACTGGAGGAACCCGATGGGGGTGGCGATCCGGAAGACTTGCTGCCGCTTCCGCTGTGGCTGGTGGCCAAGGGCATCTTTGAGACTGAGAGGAGAGAGAAGAAAAAGCGGGAGGAAGGACAAGAGCAGTGAGTCAGGAGACAGGGCGAGACGCCAATGACTGAGTTCTTAAAAGCCTGATAGAACTTGCCTGTAAAGCAGTCCAGACTTGGTGGATCTTTATTTTGGTGTACATTTGTATTTTTAATGGGAAAATATTAAACTATCAAAATTTTTTTAAAAACTGGTTATATAGCCACGCATGGTGGCACATGTCTTGTAATCCCCGCATTGAGGGAAGCGGAGGCAGGGAGGATTGCAAGCTTTAGCCCAGCCTGGGCAACTTAGTGAGACCCTGTCTCGAAATAATAAATAACACAAGGACCAGGGATGTTCTTAGCATGAAAGCCTTGGGTTCAATCCCCACTACTGCACTCCCCAAAGGGATATGGCTTTCTATTTTCTATTTCTTCTGATAAATTAATATTTTTCTAGGGATTTATTTCACTTATTTCTATAAATTTGGTGCAGAGGATAGAACCCAGAGCTTTCCAATGGGCCTTTTTAAAAAAAATGATTTTATTGGGGCCAGGGATTTAGCTCAGTGATTCCGTCACCTGCCTTGCAAGCGCAAAGTCCTGAGTTTGATCTCCATTACCAAAAAAACCAAAAAACAAAAAATGTTTTTATTTTGAGACAGACTCTCACAAAGTTGCCTAGGCTGGTCTTCAATTTACTACCTTTTTGTCTCAGCCTCCCAGGGGCCTGCTCTATCAGCACCAGGTTCCAGTAGTACTTTTAAATTAATCTATCCTGAACTTG